ATGAGCCAGCCACCCGCTGCCACCCAGCCCTCTGCTTCTTCCCAGGACCAGGCTGACGGCTCCCAGGAGCTTACTCGGGGCTGCAAGAGGTGGGTGCCCGCCTGGTCTAGTGCGGAGATCGTGGACTTAATCCTGGTTTGGAGGGGAGGCCTCCAATGTCCATAATCTCCGCACTAGTCACAGGAAAGCAGCCGTCTAGGCAGGATAGCTGTCAGCCTGGCCACTAAAGGCCACATGCGAACCCAGGAGCAGGTTTGCATGAAAATCAAGGTGGTCCAGTGAGACCCCCGACCCTGAGCCCTGAGCTTAGAACATAAGAACGGCCGTACTGGGTCAGACCAAAGGTCCATCCAGCCCAGTAGCCTGCCTACCAACAGCGGCCAACACCAGCTACCCCGGAGGGGATGGACTGAAGACAATGACCAAGCCATTTGTCTCGTGCCATCCATCTCCAGCCTTCCACAAACAGAGGCCAGGGACACCATTCTTACCCCCTGGCTAATAGCACTCCATGGACCCAACCTCCATGATTTTATCTAACTTCTCTTTAATCTCTGTTATAGTTCTACCCTTCACAGCCTCCTGCAGGAACGAGTTCCACAGATTGACTATTTGCTTTGTGAAGAAGAACTTTCTGTTATTAGTTTGAAGCCTGCTACCCATTCATTTCATTTGGTGTCCTCTAATCCTTATATTATGGGAACTAATGAAGAACTTTTCTTTATGCACCCTCTCCACACCACTCATGCTTTTATAGACCTCTATCATATCCCCCCTCAGTCTCCTCTTTTCTAAGCTGAAAAGTCCCAGTCTCTTTAGCCTCTCTTCATATGGGACGTGTTCCAAACCCCTAATCATTTTAGTTGCCCTTTTCGGAACCCCTTCCAAGGCCAAAACATCTTTTCTGGGGTGAGGAGATCACATCTGTACACAGTACTGAAGATATGGCGTACCATAGTTTGATACTTACCCTCCTCCTTCTTCCCCTGGCTTCCCCCTTCCAGCTCCCTCCTCCCGGTTTCCCCCGACCCTTTCCCACCCTCTCTCTTCTCCTCTCCCACCTCCTTTTCCCAGTCTCCCCAGAGGCTAATCCCCCCTCCCTGCCCCCAGTTTTGTTAAATAAAGAGAGTTTCTATTTTTGAACACACGTGTCCTTTATTTTGTACATTAGGAAGAGGGGTTGGGGGGTAAATGGAAGGAGGTGAGGGAGGAATGGGGTACGAGCCCCCAATGGGGAGGACTGGGGTGGCTCTGCGGGCTCCTCGGGGTGGAAGCTCTCCTGCAGCTCCCCGATTGACCCCCCCAGATGGAAGTCTGCGGCAAGTGCAGGTGGGCTGATAGCCGAGTGCTGTGATGTGCCGAGTGTGGGCACTCAGGGCACTCCAAGTCAGGACTGCTTTGCTGTCCCTCATCGAGGCAGACAAGCAAGCGGGGAACCCTGAGAACTGTCTGCGGGGTTGGGGGTCGGGTCCCTTTAAGCACAGCTCTCAGCTATCCTGAGGCAGCAGCTCCACTCTCTTAAGTCCTAACCTGATGCCCTGGCGGCACTGCTTCCGGCCATCCTTAACCTCGGTTCAGGGTCCACTCAATGTGGACATGCTAGTTTGAATTAGCAAAACACTAATTCGAACTAGTTTTTAGGTCTAGATGCACTAGTTCGAATTAACTAATTCGAATTAAGTTAGTTCGAATTAGTGCTGTAGTGTAGACATACCCTCTGAGAGTTCCTCTGCAGCTACAGAGGGGCAGACAGAAATGCCTCTCTCCTCAAGAAACAATGCTTCACTTTCTGTAAGTAGGGTAAAGTTTAGATAAATCCGTTAGGTTTTTCTTGTTTTATGGTTTGGGTATGGAATCTGCTGTCTGTCCACACTTAAACAATGTTTTGGATTTTCTTTGTAACTAAGTTCTAGGCCCATGGAGTTTTTCCATGAGTATATTATTTGTTAATCTTCCATCTAGTTATTATGCTTGCAACAGGAATATTGTTGTAATAACAGAAGTTCTTTCTCTTTTCTTTTTATTATCCTTGGATTGGTTAATTGTGTGCCCTGATTTCCTTATTAATATTTGGGTGGTGGCAGTGGAAGTTTTATTCCCAAAATCTAGGATTTTAAGATTTTTGGGGAAGTTTTATACCAAAGCCTGGTAAATAAGGTTTTGGGGTACACTTGCTGGCCCCCACTTCTGCATTTATCATGCCAAAGTGGGGAAGGAGCCATGATAACCCCTAAGAAGACACAATACTCATTGCACCATACACTGGATGAGCATTCACACAGCCTGTCTTCCTGCCAATTGTTATGTAGGAAGTGCTATTATTAAAACTGCAGAGCAAATCCTGTTGGAGCAAATGTGAAAGGGGGCAAAATAGGTTGTAAATGCTACCACTGATGTGACAGAGTGGGCTATGCTGATGTGATCATAGATGTTGGAACTATGATGCTGCTGCACCTCTCGAATTAAAGTAGTAATAATCAGCGTTCCCGGTAAGCTGTGCACTTGTGTGGCCACTAAAGAGAGACTCCAGTGCTACCCAGATGATTAGCAGAACACCCACAGCTAGGTTTTGGTTTCTATTAGTGGTGCACATTCACATGTGTCTTGGTGCACATAAAACATTATTCTGCACATGGATGGAAAAAATCCATACATGGGGACCATTGGTAATAACAACCCAAATACATGGTTTCTACCTTCAGTACCCAAATTATAAAAATTATGCCAGTACCACTGGAAGTGGCATCATAATACTTAGCAAATAGGGTGCAAGGCAGAGGAATCTCAGGCTCATTCCCTGAAAAAATACAGGGCTACGTCTACACTGGCCCCTTCTTCGGAAGGGGCATGCTAATTTTGAAAGTGGGAATAGGGAAATCCGCAGGGGATTTAAATATCCCCCGCGGGATTTAAATAAACATGTCCGCCGCTTTTTTCCCGGCTTGGGGAAAAACCGGAAAAAAGCGTCTAGACTGGCCCGATCCTCCAGAATAAAGCCCTATTCCGGAGGATCTCTTATTCCTACTTCAAAGAGATCCTCCGGAATAGGGCTTTATTCTGGAGGATCGGGCCAGTCTAGACACTTTTTTCCGGCTTTTCCCCAAGCTGGAAAAAAAGCAGCGGACATGTTTATTTAAATCCCGCTGGGGATATTTAAATCCCCCGCGGATTTCCCTATTCCCACTTTCAAAATTAGCATGCCCCTTCCGAAGAAGGGGCCAGTGTAGACCTAGCCCAGGTGTTTACTACCTGAACTGAAGAAGAATCTCAATTAGCCGATTGTTGGAGCTAATGGGTGCGATTTACAAAAGACCAGGGTTGGTCTAACTTGGCTCCCTTTCCACTCAAGGGTAAAACTTCCGAATTAGGATGATGCTGAATGATTCCAAAAATCCCATTTGATTATGTCTGCCAATCACTATGGGCAGGGGCACATAAGCAAAATGGCTAGCCTAGTCCAAGTTCCTTTCCACTGTCAGTTACTGTCATCAAATATGGTAGCCACACCAGAGCATGTTAGAAGACAGTGAATGCCTAAAATGTGGAGATCATTCCAACCACATTTGCTTTAATGCTGACTAATCCCCAAGTAGAAAATAAAGCCTAACATATAAGCACTTCTTAGCTAAGAAAGTTGCTACCTATTAACCTCGCTGTAGTTTTTTTAACTTATCCAACTTATGCAAGTCAAGTAAATAGAACAAAGACTAATTGATTTTTTCCACAGTTAAGACATTCTGATGAACATACCCATTTAGAGTCACTTGACTTAGAAAACCTCTGAAAGAGGAGCTTGACAGTTGGTAATTGTAGAGGGACTTCATGCTTCAGAAGGAGGGCGCTCAGCTGTGACTGAGAAAGAAATGCTGAGAAGGGGTCCACAGTCTTGAGCTCTCTCTGCAGCTCTTCTAATTCGGCTAACCTGAAAGGACCCTGCCTGAGTTCCTTTCTGACAAGAGTCAGGAGAGAATCTTCCTCCTCAGGTGACTCGGTTGGCCCTTGGCATATAGTCTGCTGGAAATCATTTAGAAAAGAAACATCTGGTTATATAGCATACAGTGACTCCACTGAAGAATAGTAGAGCAGAGGGTTGAATGGAGATTTCTTTACAACATCATTACAATGGCTGTGCTGAGTAAAACAGCCAGGTCAGTCCTCAGCACTCTGGCTGCATGCTACAAAAGCTGCGCCACCGGGATAAAGCTGCCCTACATGGGCAGCTGAGGCTTCCATTTGCCACAGAGGAATCCTTGGGTTGCACAAAGCAAGCAAAGTTGCAGTTTCTCTTTTCAGCATAAGGAGGCATGGTAGAGTAAGACGTGGGTGGATGAGCGCCTGTGGTGGTTTGCCAGATCCTCAGCTGTTGCAGATGTAATTTAGGGTAGCCCTGAAGCTGCTCTCAGTTTCACCACAGGCAGTTTTGGCTGGCTCAGAATCAGAGAGATAAAAAGGTGACTGAGAACCACCCTTCCCCTAGCTCCTTTCCTTCTCTTTCCCCTCACCTGGTGAACTTGGTCTAGTTGAGGACTAAGCCCATCATTAGAAAGCCAACAGTGAACCAAACAGTCACTGAAAATATTTAATAGATGACCCGTTATGGCAATATTTAACTACATTTACCTGGTGATGTCCTAGATGTTGTCCTAAAGACCAAGTTCTAAGCGATGGCTTTTGGCGGGCATGAATGTAGGACAAGGACTGATCTCCCGACGGGACAGACACACAGTGAATATTTGGTGGCTTTAAACCCTCGAAGAATAAACACAGAATTAGTTATAAGGCAATCAAAGAAAAATAAGTGGCCTTGTTTTAAACGAAACACACACAGAGTACAAATATTGACATACAAAATATATGGTTCATTCCTTTTTAGAAAGCAAATGTTTAAACTCCAATAATGATATACCCTGAAGGCATATTTAACTGGAACAGCTATTAAATTAGACCTCATTTTATTAGTATAATTAGCTCCTCCAGCTGTAAAACTGTCCCCTTTCGCTCAAGATGAAGGAAACTCTCCATCCGCTGCTGGTATGATAGCTCATAGATGTACTGTTCTAATTCTACCTTGTAGAAGGCACGGTGCTCACACACTAGCCAGTTTGTTACAATAATAGAATGCATTCAACTTCCTAAACCTGCCACTAAAAAGTCTCATAGTTTAGTATTTCACACTTATTAGAAATGCCTTCCTGCATTAGGGTATGTCTACACTACCCTCCTAATTCGAACTAGGAGGGTAATGTAGGCATACCACACTTGCAAATGAAGCCTGGGATTTGAATTTCCCGGGCTTCATTTGCATAAGCCAGGCGCCGCCATTTTTAAATCCCGGCTAGTTCAAACCCCGTGCCGTGCGGCTACACGCGGCACGGAGTAGCTAGTTCCGATTAGGCTTCCTAATCCAAACTAACCGATTAGGCTTCCTAATCCGAACTAGCTGTACTCCTCGTGGAATGAGGAGTACAGCTAGTTTGGATTAGGAAGCCTAATCGGAACTAGCTACTCCGTGCCGCGTGTAGCCGCGCGGCACGGGGTTCGAACTAGCCGGGATTTAAAAATGGCGGTGCCTGGCTTATGCAAATGAAGCCCGGGAAATTCAAATCCCGAGCTTCATTTGCAAGTGCGGTATGCCTACATTACTCCGCTGGTTCGAACTAGCGGGGTAGTGCAGACATACCCTTAGAGATTAAAGTTGACATTGCACATTATTTCCAGCTAGAAATTAATTAAAGCCCAACATTTCTAAAAGCAAGCTGCAATAAATTAATCAGTTCCATAGGCATGAGCAGCACATTTCATTAGGGTGTGCACCCAAAGAATTTTTTAAAAATGTATTGTTTGACTCCCATTAGCCACGCCTCTGGGGCAATATGGACATATGACCAGAAATAAAAGGTGTCATGTGACCCCCCCCCCCAAAAGACTTTTCCCACCATCCTCTTACCAATAGGGATTAGTTTGGCCCTCACCAACAACCCCCGCCCATGCAACTATCCTGCAATTCCTTTAATCCAATGTGTGTGACATTAACTCGGGGGGTGGAGAGGCTGGGGGAAGTGTCTCCTCTAAGTGTTTCCTCCCATGAACACAATAAATTTTGTGTTGTGCACCAGTACTGAGTTTGTGGCTTGTTTGGATGTGCCACTGTGGCACCCAAGTTATTAATAAGTATGGGTATGTCTACACTACAAAGTTAATTCGAACTAACGGACGTTAGTTCGAATTAACTTTGATAGGCGCTACACTAGCGCTCCGCTAGTTCAAACTTAATTTGAACTAGGTAAACCTAGCGGAGCGCTTAGTTCGAACTAGGTAAACCTCATTGTACAAGGACTAAGCCTAGGGACAGCGGCCAACCCTAGGGACCCTGGAGGGGATGGACCGAAGACAGTGACCAAGCCATTTGTCTC